GGGAGGGGCTGGGTGCGGAGGGGTCCCAAGGAGACCCTGGGGGATAGTGGATCCCCCTGCCATGGAGTTGGAACTTGCTGGAATGTGCCCAACAGTCCAGACCAGGCTTAGGCGCGGGGCTCCTAGAGGAGAGGCCGTGCCCGGTGACTAGTGGGGGCACAGGGGTGCCGGGAGCGCCACCGGGCAGGGCTGCCCACCGTAGAGCTGCAGCCAGACGTTCTGACGCCCCCCTTCTGCGTCTCCATGTACAGCACTGTGAAATGCTTGTAGTCGGTGGACGCCACGCGGATCTCGGTCTGCGCCATGGCTGAAGGGCGAGAGCCGGCTGAAGCTGCCGGCTTGGCCGGGCCCCCACCCCCACCTGGCTCGGGAGCCCTCCCTGCCCTGCCCCCTCTCACCCTCGTTGCTGAACTGCCCGTCCACAGCACCCTTAGTGAAGGTTGTGTCCGTCTTCTGGCACCCGCCATCGGGCCTGGGGAAGAAGACCCACAGCATCCTGAGCGTTCAGCACACGCCGCCCGGCCACGTCGCAAAGGGCCACCCCTTGGGCACTGCTGACCACGTAGGGTGGGCCGGTGCTCAGGCTGCCCAGCACCCCTGGGCCCCCCTCACTCTGTGCTCAGAGCTGAGAGACGCTCTCAGGGGCGGGGGGCAGGTGTTGCTCAAGGACACACAGAGCCAGGAGACATGGGGTCTCCCCGGCAGACTCCCACAGGCAGACACAGGGACGAGACTCCTCCATGGCCAGGCCACAGGCAAGCCCCTCAGCCTGACCACGGGGGGCCTGGGTCTGACTCCCTACGGTGCCAGGGACGCCTCTGGTTCTCGGTGGTTCACCTCTGGCCTCACACTGGCCGGGTCTAAGGCCCAGTCTGAGGTGGGGTTCATGGGGTCACTTACGTGGAGTACCCAAACTTGAGGGCCAGGTCACCATTGGCCAAGGGGGTCACCAAGACCACGGGCATCTTCAGGTTGTCCTTGGAGTCCAGGAAGCCCTGGTCATCCGATACCACCCCGACCACATACCAGATGCCCTGGAACTACAGGGAGGGTGCAGGGAGAGCTGGGGGGACAGCATGACGGTGGGTGGCTGCAACTCGTCCAGATCTGAGGACCTGGGGAGTGGTGGTAGGCACAGGCCACACACCAGCCTAAGGAGCCCGCTGTCCTCCCCACACAGCCCACCCTCCAGCTGATGGCTGGCCCCTGGGATCTGGATGGAGAAGCAAGGGGGTCATCCATGAGGAGGACAGGATGGGTCTGGCATGGGGGTGCCTGGGCCCACCTGGCTGGCATCAAAGTTGGCCTGGATGGGGACCTGGGCCTGGCCTAGGGACACCCTGAGCAAGGCAAAGACCCAACTGATCAGCAGCATCTGCAGCATCGTGGAGGATGGTTCTTAGCAGGAGAGCTGGGGTGGCCTCTCCTGCCCAGCCTTTATGACCCCCCAAATGCCCTGGGGTGGCTGGCCTGCTGGCCTGGGACCAAGCCTACTGAGATCAGGCTGGGATCTGGCTGCACCCTGCAGTGCAGGGGCTCAGCTGTATCCACGGAACCCTGCCCATCCCCGGTGGCGTTTCCTCCTGAGACTTCAGATCCTTCAACGCAGGGGGAGAACTTCTGGCAGGCTTTCTGGGATGTCTGCCCCCAGCTCTCAGCTCAGACATAGCCCCCAGACCCCCTCCTCCAGGAAGCCTGCCAAGAAGCTCACCCTCACCTCTGAGCCTCACAACTCTTGGTGCCTCTATAGGGCCTTGCTGAAGTTTGCCGGGGTGGGGGCCTGGTGGGCAGGATGCTGTGGGTGCTGCCCACTGTGAGCCAGGAGGGCTCAGGGCAGGGCCTGGAACCTGGTGGACAGCGGGAGACGTGGGGCAGGGCTGGTCAGGGAGATCGTGCTCCAGGGCCCAGGGTGGCTTTGGTGCCAGGGGTCTGGTGAAAGGGTGGGGCCGGAGTCACCACAGTACCCAGAGGGATGAGGGTGTCCGGTCGTCAGCCCACTCAGTCTGTCCGTCCCAGTGTGGGGGGCATGGACAGGGCAGCCCCTTCCTCCTTGTCCTCTGGGACCCTGATCTCTGGCCTGAGTCTAGTCTAGTCTGAGTGTACTAACCCCACACCTTCCAAGACCCAGTGGAGGCAAAGCTTCCCTGGGCCTCAGGCCTCTCTAGACTTGGGGTGAGGGGGCAGGCCCCAGGCACCTGCCTAGGGATTAGGAGGTGACTGGGCCCCAGCCCAGAACCTGCCGGCTGGAGGGGCAGCTTGCAGGAGTGTGGCTGGAGGGGGTGCGGTGAGGTCAGAGCCCGGCGTGCGTTGGGGAAGGGCCGTGATAGTACTTCTCCTCAGCGGTCCTGATTCGGACCCGCCCCACCAGGAGCAAACACGAGTGGGCCCTTGCCCACCCCTAGGCGACATCACGGAGAGCCAGCCTCAGAGACTTTCCAGAGGGGAAGGGGAAACTGAGGCCCAAAGTTAGTGGGGTGTGGTCAGGTCCCCAGGGAGCAGGCCAGAGCCAGGCCGTGGGCAGCGAGGACGGCAGGACAGACGGGCAGGAGCTGGACGGCTGATTTGCTTCCGGAGTTTATTCTCAGAGCCAGGAGAAAGCCAGAGGGCGCAGAGGTGGGGGCAGGGAGGAGCCAGGGCTGGGGCCTTGGGGGTCTTGGAGGGAAGAGCAGAGCAGGGCAGGATGGCCAGGTCCTGGGGGCCGGGGTCTCCTGGCAGAGAGAGCGGGACCAGTGGGTGGGGCAGGCAACACGGCCCCTCCCAGCCACAGGGGAGCGAGCGCCTCCAGACCCTCCCTTCCCATCGACCCCACGGGTTCCTATCCCAGCCTCCAGTTCCTCTTACCCCCAGGAATCTCGTGAACCCCAGTGGAGTCCCTCCCCCTTGGACAACCCCCGTGTGCCTGGGACCACCCTTGCATGGTGGGGTAGTGTTAGCAGGTGTGAGGGGGGACTGCCAGGTGAAGCCAGCCCACAGCCCACAACACTCACCTACTTGTGCTCCTCCATGCATTTATCTGCCAAGAAAGACCCCCGGGGACCGTGGTCAGCGCCCCAGGCTGGGGCCACTTTCCCCACCGGGGCTGTCTGCCCCCTCCCGACAGCCCTGGAGAGCTGGTCGCGTTGAGCCCCCCAAAACTGCTGAGTCCATCACACTCCGTCACTCTCTCCCCTCCTCCAAACAAAGAGGGGGTTCTGTCCCCACCTGGGCCCGGAGCAGGCTGCCTGCCTTAGGGAAGGAAGCCCTGGGCCCTGAGCCCTCATGTGTTCCTGAAGCACCCCACCCCCACCCCGCTGGGTCTGTTTCTAGTGCCTGCCCCGCACCAGGCTGGGGACCCTGTGTCCTGAGGGCTCATCAAGGGCCTGGAACACCGGCTGCTTGGTGAAACTGGGGAAGCGGTGGGCGGGGGGGATGTTCCTGCAGAAGGAGTACCTTCCTGTGCCCCACCCAGCGGCTGCAGGCCAAGGTCTCTGGGTGAGGACAGACTGCCCCCCACTCCGGAGGCCACAGTGTGCTGGTCAGTGGTCAGTGGGCGGTCTGGCCGGATGCACCGCACCCCTCAGCCTCCCCTGAATCAGGACACTGTCTGCCTCAAATCCGACCTTAATCCCCTCCCCATCAGATTAGCAGCACCCCCTCACCGGTCTGTGGCAGGAAGACAATGGCATCCTCTGTGAAGCCCTGGGTCTTGGCAAAGGTGGTGAATTTCTCCTTGATGTCGGCCCTCGGGGTCTGGGTGCGGCCTGGGGCAAGAGGGAGAAGCTGCTGGCCTCAGTTGGGAAAGGTCTCTGCTGCCCCCACGCCCGCAGCTTGGGGAGCCCCCCCGGGAGACACCCATCTCAGGCCAGACTGTGAGTCCCTGGTGCGGGGTGCGTACTGTAGAGAGTGGCCATGTGGAAGTCCTGGCCGAGGCCTTTGGTGCCCGCGGTGTAGAGAAGCGCGTACTCGTCGTAGTTGGTCGCCACCACCCACACGTCGTGGGTACTGCCCCAGTCTGGGAATCCATGAGAGAAGCCCGGTTGGGGACCCTGGCCCTAGACCTCCGGCCCACCTCTGCCTGGGAAGGGGTGTGCTCTCCCCGGGCCGGCTGTGGGAAGGAGCCAGGGATGATGCCCTCCCCCAGTGAGACAGGCAGCTGTCCCAGCTTCCTGCTGCACAGCCCCTGAACTCTGCAGGGGCCGGGCTCCTCAGACCAGAAGTCCTGGGGGGCAGCAGACACACAGGATCAGAACATCAGGGGCTCATGGTGCAGCCACAAACCCCTCGGCCGAAAGGAAGAGGAAAGATTTCCCAGTGGGAAGCCGGCCCCAAGGAAGGGGGTAAATGGTGGGCTGGGGCGTGAAGAGGCCCTTGGCCCTGCTCCTGGGGTGGAAAACCGTGGAGAGGAGTGAGGGGGGCTGGGGGACTGCCCATGTGTGCTCCGCCTGAGGAAATATCATTATGGGGGGGCAGGAAGGGGCTTGGAGTTCAGCTCCAAAGGGGATCCAGTGCCCGAGAGAGGGTTCGTGGTCCCCCCACACCTGAGCCTGGGCCAGGTCCAGGCTAGACCGTGGACTAGCTGACCCTGGTGGAGTGGCCACCAGCCCACCCCATGTACTGCTGGGGCAGGCGGGTCTCCCTGGCCCAGGGCTGGGCCCAGGGGTCCCTAGAGGGGGCCCCACTCACGGGGACTGCTGTAGCTGTAGCAGCCGGGGGCTCCCGCCGGCCGCAGCAGCAGGGTCCGCGTCTCACACTGCTCTTTCCTGTGGGCAGGTCACCGAAGGGGTCAGGGGTCAGGCCAGGGGCTGTCCCTAGACCGTGGTCATGGGGCGGGGTGCTCTGGGCCCCAGAAGCCCCGTGTCCCACCTGAGGAAGGTGGAGGTGAGGTTGAGGCCTCCGTCTGCGGTAGGGGCCACGACGGACATGCACATGGACAGCACATTCTTCTTCTCCCGGAACCAGCTCGAGTTGGAGGCGAGGCCCGAGGTGAACCAGCGCCCCAGGAACTGCGGCGAACGGACCCCGCCCGGGTCGGCCAGGACCCTCCCGGGCGGACCTGGATGGGGAGC